ATATATCCTGTTCGTAAGTAGGGGAGCTCTTGTATGTCTCTCTCATATCGATTTTATCGCGGTAGAAGTCCGCGGGCGTGTGATTCGCTCTCGGCGGTCGGTCTTCGCTAGGCTTACGAGCGAGCTAGCATCTCGGTACTAATCGAGTGAAACAATGTTTCTCATTTCGTCGCCGTAGACGTGTTTATACGTCGGCGCGTGATTCGATTTGCGATCTAACGGCGCAGATTTACCTGCAACGCCGCGGTGCGTCCTGCTACACGTACACGCTGATTGCTATTGATCCTACGCAGCCGGCTGCAGTGTGTGTGTGGTGTTGTGTGTCGCTGTGTGTGCTGTTATGGCGTGCGCTGGTGCGTGCGTGCGTTCAGTGCCTGTGCGTGTCGTGCGGCTGGTGCTGTCTTGCGCGCGTGCGTGTGTGTGTATGTGGCTGTGAGAGAGCAGAGAGAGAAGAGAAGAAGAGATGAAGAGATGTTCCTGCCACTAGAAGTTAAGCTAAACGGATTTGATTTTGATGAGTTTTCCGATAGATGCGAGAGAAGCCAGCCGATGAGAGGAAGAGAGAGAGAGAGAGAGAGAGAGAGGATGGGGAGCGCGGGATGGAGCGAGCGATAAAAAGAGGGAGAGAGAGGGAGGTAGCGAGTAGATGTTACAAAGACAGAGAGAGATAGAAAAATAGAGCGCGGCAGAGATAGGGAGAGCGAGCGAGAGAGAAAGAGGAAATGATCATGAGTGCGAAGAAGAGAGAGAAGAAGGAAGGGAGGGGAAAGATAGGGCTGGGGATGAGGAAGAGGAAGAAGAAGAATATCATCGGACCAATCAGCGTCTGGCCTAATGGCAATCAGTGTCCAACAATGAAGAGCTATAATGAGATTCTATCGCAGTGCACAGCAGTCTTAATTAAACTCACGAATCACTGCGATATCCCGTCTCGGTGTAGCATGGTATCCCCTACGCCAAACGCCCCCCCCCCTAAACATTGCGCATGTGCAGTAAATGTCACATCGCCATGCGCATGCGCCATACACTCTGCTGGACACGCCCGTGGCCATGCACAATGTATGGGGTGACGTTTACCATATAGGGGGGGGGGAGTCTACCACGCTACACCAGGTAAACCGGCCGTTGTCGTTCTCAGCGCGGTCACCGTGGCGAGGTCTGTTGATGGGGGCGGTGACCGGTTGTGCGCGGCTGTGAAATGCCTAGGGTTCACTCGCCTCGGTGCCCGTTGTCAGAAACATCATAAATAGTTGTGACATCGTACGTCTGACAGGTAAGGACTATTGCCGTGAAAGTGTCGTGCAAAACTTGTGACATTTTAGATGCATGATCGTTCGCATGTTTCTAACAACGGGCCCCTGGTGTTTATCCCGTTAACGCTAGCCGTAAATCCCTTTAGCACCCATCGCTCGTGCTCTATGAAACATAGCTGTCGAACCCGACCGTTTGTCCTTCAAGAAGAGAAGTAACTAGCTTTGAGACGGGTAAGAAGAACTGTACGGTTGCAATAATGTGTCGGAGGATGACAGTAAATGAAGCCAACGCAAATGAAGCCATTCTAAGCTAGTCGGTGGTCTGACGGTGTTTATCTGCCTCGCTCAGCAATAATTCACTTAGCACAGTGACACGCATTGTTCTGCTTTGATTAAAGCGTGTATTGCGAGAATTTTCTAGAGACTATCATTCTTCTGATAACTTCTCAGTTAGTTAGAACTTAGTTATACCTTAAATCATCGTTGACAGGCTTCTGTTTTTGCCTATTGCAAGAAATGCGCGCAACTGTGTCTTTAATGTTAAAATGTGTATTGCGAGATTTTTGCGCAGAAAAACTAAATATTGCTGAATATAGTCTCACCTGACAGCGAAAATATCACTGATTACACCAACATTAAAAATACTAAGATTTTATGCAGTTATAGCATAGAAAATTGGATATGAACACATCGTAACAGCAATGCATTTTATCGTGTCGCGACAATGCCTAATGGCAGAATTGGTAAACTTGTATCTGTGTCGGTGATGAATTGAAAACAAGTGCGTGCCTGTACTGTAAGTATGGCACATAAGCGGTGGCGCCACAAGCTAATTCATACTTCCTGATAGTTCAAGATGACAGAAAACGAATGTTTACAAAAACGATTAGTTCGAAACTGGCAGTTTTCGGTGAATACGATAGAGAGAGAGAGGGAGAGACGGAAGGAAAGAAGGCAATGCCGAGACGCCGGAGCAGACAGAGCAACGGAAGCCGAGAGAAGAAGCTGGAAGAAAGAAGAGGAAGATATATAATGCCGTGGTAGGTGATGCATTTTTCCTAGTATAAATTTCGCTGTGCTAACGCTGATTACTGTCGCCTGACTGTTAAGTATACTGACGATATTGCCCGTTGCACATTTCTGTAAGTAGAGCGCGGACGGTTTGTGCGATAATAGACGCGTTATAGGGTGCATAAGGTATAGAGAGCGTTACACGGGCTAAGATAGATAGCCGTGGCACGCGTGTGATAAAGGGCGAAGAGGGCCCTACGCGAACGTATCATGCGTCACGTTTAACGCATGGAAACGAGGTTAGCATACGCGGCTAAAGTTATGTCTCTGTAAAGACAAGTCGCGTACACGGTCCGAAAGAAGGACTACGGGGGATTTTTTGTCACAGCATATATACGCTGGGAATCCTCCACATAACGTGTCAGGGAGCACGGGATATAGATATGCTCGATGTGTAAGCACCCTAAGATACTAGGGCGTACCTGAACGATATAAGGATTCGTTCAGTCACGCCATAATGAAGGCACAGTAGATAACCGTATGATATATAGTTATGCACAGGTGTATAATTTGATACTATAGAGGGCTGGCGACGCGGTAATGGCAAGTACAGATGATGTTATTTTGGGGAAAATGTGACGCTGAATACGGCAGAGTATATTTATTTAGGAACATGGCATATATAATGGCAGGGTTGTTTAAAGATCTTGAGGAGAGGGGTATTACGAGTGAGCTGGGTTTCAATGTATGTGTGCGCGCACATGAATTGAAGGCATATGGTCATTAGTGATATTCGTTGTGGATGGAGCTACGTGCTCCTGGGGAATTTGTTTTTTTCCAGTGATGTTATGACATCTCTTTTCTTCCATTGTATTTATTGCGTATTTTGGTATTTCAAGGTGTTGTGTAGTGGGATGATTTCAAAGGGCTGTGTATCCCATCGATCTGTGTATCTGTGTATCGATGTTGTATTATAGTGGTCATATGGATTTTTGTTCAAACTGTATTTTTGTATATGAGTATATTGGTGTTCGGTGAAAGAGATATTGTATTAGTATAGTAAGGGTACGAGCAATTTTGGGTAATGTTGGATTGCCTGATCGCCAGGATGAGAGACAGGTGTGTGTGTGTGTGTGTGTGTGTGTGTGTGTG